AGTGAGTTTGTTTTTGGTTTTAGTTTGCTTTATATCATTGCTCCTGGAGACAATATATGTTTTCCTTGAAATTTTTAGGATAATATCTATAACTGAGATAACATTGGAGAGATGACTTATAACTCTTTTTCTTGTGATACAGATTTTATCCAAGCATATATGACGAATTTTGCCTCTGACAGACTCTATGAAATCATTAGAAGGGAACTCAAAGAAAGAGACTTTAAAAAAGTATCAAAGTAATGATACTATTAGAAATTTGAATAATGATGATATTAAGGAATTGATCATTTTAAGGTGTGATAACAGTAGTGTGGTTATTTTATTTAAAAAGAGTCCCTATCTCTTAGAGACACATACTGAAATGTTTATGGATGAAATGATACGATTTCTAGAATTTACTTCAAAATAATATGGGAGGGGATGAAATGGGTGAAAGAATCAATGAAATAAGCTTAATCATAAGTTAATAATTATTGAAGTTGGGTGATGGGTACATGGCAATTCATTATACTCTTTTGTAACATTTGAACATTTAAAATATTTTCCACAATTAAAAAGTTAAAAAAAAAAAAGAAAGAAGGAAACTCAGGGACCAAACTTTGATAACTACTAGATTATAAGAGTTCCTTGAGGGGTGAGACTATTTGTATTTATCTTTGTATCTCTGGAACCTAGTATTATGTGATACACGATAGCCACTCAATTTATTAAAATAACTGAATTATCAGTTACTTATGAGGAGATCTTCAGCTCCAAACTTACAAGTATTCCAGGTAATTGTGGTATACAGTCAAACTCCACTCATTAACCTATTTAGGGTAAAGGGGAAAAGAAGGAATTAATTATAAAATTAAATTATAGAATATTTTAAGAATATATCTTTGTTGTTTCCAAATAAATATAGTAATAAAGAGCATATCCTGGCAGTTCTTTCAGATAGAGATCAGGACCTGACTTAACAAATAGATCAATTTGTAAGAATTGAGTTCTAGTTCAGCTGTTTCACTAACTTCTAGTTTACCTTGGGCAGTGGCAACTTACTTAACTTCTCTAAACTTTATTTGCTTCATTTGTAAAGTAAAAAAAGTTGGACTGGGTAACTTCTCAAGTTTCTTTCTGTTCTAAAAGTTCTATAGTTCTAAATTAGCAGAATCTACCTAAGTACTAACAGCCCATGTATTAAAATTCTTAAAAGCAGTTTGTCTTTTTGAAAAAGTATATATCCTTTTCCATGTATCTTTATGATTTATACTGTTTATTTGCATTAATGGGCCCTTCCTGGATTATTTTACATAATCTAAATTAAATAGTAAAGAAGTCAACTTTAGCTCAAATGAAGTTCAAATTAATAAAATTTACTGTAACAAGTTACTTTCAGTTATAAACTAGATTTCTAAGAATTATCCCTGAGAAAACTGCTATTTTCCTGAAGTGTTTTAAATAATACTGGGCCCCCACCTGGTAAAGCCAGTCTCATAGTATGCTCTACCCTACTTCTTATAAATTTCTTTAGTTGAGTTAGCCAATTCATTTCTTTGTTTAAGCAAAACACTTTTTTTTCCTCTGTTAAAATTTATGTACCCCTTGGAGAAGCTTGACAGAGCATAAAGAGATCTGGGCAATAGTTTGGTTTTTGTCACAAAATTCATGATCCTGGACATATCATCCTTCATCTCTACTTTTGTTTGCTCATCTGTAAAATGAGGGATTTGGACTAGATTAGAAGTTGTGCATTTTTCAGACCCCTAGAGATTCTGCTTCAGAATCTTCCAGGAAGGGGAGATTCTAGGCCTCCACCCTCTCTTGGTTCAACCAAACAGTTCCACTATTATCTTTTCTTCTATATTAGACTTTGATAAAATTTTATGTGAAAAAGGGGTTTCAATTCCTTTCTCTTGCTCTTCAAAAAAAAAAACTTGAAAATCATGGAGATCACTTTCTGCTCTGTGTATGGTGAGGGAAAAAAGTCACTGAAATCCTTTGCTGAAAGTAAGTGTAGAAGAGGAAAGAGAAAAAATAAGAGAGCACTAGGAATTATATGCAGTATCCTACAGTGGGAAAAATGCATGTTGAGTCCATTCCAAATCAAAGAGTCCCTATAGGACAAAGTAGAACTGCCCCCGTAGGGTTCCCAAGGTTCTAAAGCTTTACAGAAGCAGACTGAATGCTTAACCACTGTGCTACCAGGGCTCCTACAATGGGGGAAAACAAAGAGGCTGAAATGATAGCTTAGAGCTTTGAACAACAAACTTTGCAATTTTTCATTTTTTTAGCCTAGTTTTCAGGGATAAATAGGGTCTCTTTTTGGCACTCTCCTATAGTAAAGCTTTGGAACAGTTGGAAAACACTTTTTTTTCTTCATTTTTTAGAAAGAAAGAAATGAATAGACTTTTGACTTGCTTGAATACAGGTAAATCTCTTTGGTTATTTTCACTTCTTCATCTTGCCTCTGTTAAATTCTGAAAATATGTTGGCACACTGACTCAGACATGAAGCTCCTTATTAATCTTTGCCACAGGAGTCTACCTTAGTCTTTT